GTAGTTGGGGGTCCGCATAAAAGGTGGTGATGATGGGGGCGGGGTTGGCCAGACCTGGATGCGGTGGGGATGGGGGTGGGGATGAGGGTGGGGGTGGGGGTGGGGGTGAATATGTGACCATGGAATGGAGGTGGTGACGGGATACACCGAGAGGTAGGCACTTGCGGATGATGACGTCCAAAAGCCACCACCGACTTTCGAATGCCGAGGGCCGACGGGGGGTTGAGACCCTATGGTCGGGGAGGCGCGGGGGTTGCGGTGTGCGTGTGTGTGGGAGGGGGATCATATGCATATGCAAGCGACTCAGTGTATGTGTGTGTGTGAGTGTGTGCGTGTGGGAGGGGAGATAGGGGGAGGAATAGAAAGGGGAGGGGGACCCAACCCGAACACAACAAGCAGGGAGTCTCTCCCTCCCTCCCCTAATCCCCCCAAACCCCGTGTGCCCTTACCGGTCGTCTCAATGATGACGTGGTCAAACTTGTCACGGCGGTCGTACTGTCGTACAAAAGGAGAGCCAGCAAGGAGCAAGGAGGGTGAAATGCCATCATGTACAAAGAGACGGAGGACAACGCGGCCGCGGCGCGTGTGTGACTTTAAAAAAATCCTCAAAAGCCACCTTGAAGGGTCCCTTGGCGCCCTTCACCCTGACGAGCACTTCCGCCCTGTTACCGCAGAAGCCCTCCCCCCCTTCTCCGACCCCATCCCCAACCCCCCGAGGTCGCCGCCTTCAAGGACGACTACTGGTCAGTTCTGCTCTTTCCTTGGCAGCAGCTTCACTCGTTCGTGGTTCGCCTTTCCCCCCCCCCCAACCCCACCCCACTCCCAACCCACACAAAAAAAGCAGCAGCCACCAGCGTCCCACTCGTAGACGTGCCCCATCCACCCATCCACCACCCGGCCCACCAAAAGGCTCCGAAACCAGAAACCACAGCGGCAACCAGCGGAACTTTCCCCCTTCAAAACCCCCCTCCTTTTTTGCCATCAGCTCCTCCTCACCATCTTCACCAGGGCCTCGATAAGGTCGCCCCGGACTGTACAACACAGGCAGCCTGGAGGGGAGAAGAGGGGGAAGCGAGGGGGGGGGCGGGGCGGGGGATGTGTGTGGTGTTTCAGGAGTTGGGGGGATATGGAGGCCTGTTAATATGAACTGGGCGGGTGAGTGGGGCCCCTGTATGCGGGGCCCCGAAGCGACATGCAGTCTCTCACTTTGGTTCCTCCCCTCCCTCCATCCCCTTCACATACACACATATATTTACACACATATATTGATACATTGATACACACATGCATACAGACAGACAGACAAACACGCGCGTAGATGTACATTTGGGGATACTTTTCGATGGGGGAAGCGGTCGCGATAAATACAACAGACGAAGAAAAGCACCAACATTTCCATAAAATCCCCCCCCTCTCCCCCTCCTTTTCCCCTGCGCCCCCCTTTCCCTCCCCCCCCCCCCCCCCC